TTATTCTTCAAACACACAGGCAGTCCTACTGGGAGATAGGTTGTAGTGGGGGCAAGAGTTGATATAATCAGGAGTATAGCTGTGCTCTCCTGAGAGCACTAAGCTGACATGGATGGAAAAAACTAATAATGGGAAGTCTTAGAGATTTAAGGAGAAGTCTGGCAGCAGTACATGTAAGGACCAATGAGCTATGAAATTACAGGAGATTCTAGATGCTAAACAGATGTTTAAGAAAGCTTATGCAAAGCATTCTCTGCACTGGAGATTTTTTCCCAGTTCACCATTGTTGCCAACACCAGTGCTTGCTATGTTGGGAGCCCTAGTGAAAGTGCCCATACGCCATCACCACAACTCTTAGCATCATGCTGATTAGACCTATTCATGCTGATTATTTACTCTGGAGTTTACAACACCAGTGGCAGCCAGCAGCTAGCATAGACTTGGGTTCCCAACACACGTGAACTGGTCTTAGCCGTAGAATTTTTGGCCTAAGTTATCTTAGTGTGACATGCTTCCAATTCTACTCACAGGATATGCATGGATGAGAAGATATTGCTGAGAAAGGGTTTCAGTTTGAAATACTGGGGAATCTTTTTCAGGAAATGGACCTCTGCAACCAAGAGTGGGAAAATTCACTAAAATTTTAAGTGTAAAGGCAGCCTCAGAACTGCATCATATAAAGACAGAAAGAGCAACACAAAAAGATAACAGAGCAAAAGAGGCAGGCTGAAACAAATGTTCATGCTTTATGCTCACTTGTATAAAGGCAAAAAGTACTAGAATTTGTGAATGGAGAGAAGTACACCTAACCTGTGTGGAGTGAGCGTTAACAGAACAGCAATACTTGCATATAAAACTATAGGTGAAGGACATGAAGTCTTCAGATGGGTGCTCTAAATAAGGGATTTCACAGAAACAATTTCTAGGCAGAGGATTATTATGGAGAATTTTTATGGATTCCAAAAGAGTGGTGGTCTCCAAGGCATGACAGCAATGAGGAACAGTGAGATATCAAATATCAGAGGGGTAGCCGTATTAGTCTGTATCCACAAGAAAGAGGAGTCCAGTGGCAAAAACTTATACCCAAATAAATCTGTTAGTCTTTAAGGTACCACCGGACTCCAGGGAGATATCAGAGAAACTGCAACTAGGGCAGTAATTGGTAACTACACAACCATAAATTAGTTGGGGATCACACCCAGAACATGGCCTGCTGATACCATAAACCAGTGGTTTTCAAACTTTTTTCTGCTGACTCAATTGAAGAAAATTGTTGATGCCTGTGACCCAACGGAACTGGTGATAAGGATTTTGGGGTGTGGAAGGGGCTCAGAGCTGGGGCACAGGGGTGAGGGCTGCAGGGTGGAGCTGGGAATGAGGGGTTCAGGGTGTGGGAGGGGGCGCTGGGCAGGAGGGGGTCAGGGCTCTGGGCTGGGGGTGCAGGCTCTGGGGTGGGGCTGGTGATGACGGGTTTGGAGTACAGGAAGGGGCTCTGGGTTTGCGGGGGGCTCAAGGCTGAGACAGGGTTTGGGGCATGGGCTAACCTTGGGCAGCTCCCAGTCAGCGGTGCAGCGGCATGTTAAGGCAGGCTTCCTGCCTGTCCTGGCACCACAGACTGCACGGCACCCTGGAAGCAGCGAGCAGCAGGTCCGGCTCCTAGGTAGAGGCGCGTAAGCAGCTCCAAGCAGCTCTTGCCCACAGGCACCACCTCGGCCCCTACCTCCTATTGGCTGGAGCCGGTGCTCAGGCAGCGCAGGGAGCCCTATGGCCCCATGCCTAGGAGCCGGACCTGCTGCTGGCCGTTTCTAGGGTGCAGCGCGCTGTCAGAACAGGTAGGGACTAGCCTGCCTTAGCTGGGCAGCACCACCGATGGGACCTCTAACAGCCTGGTCGGCAGTGCTGACCAGAGCTGCCGCGACCCAGTGCCTTACATTCTGTAACCCACTACTAGGTCGTGACCTGAGTTTGAAAAACCACTGCCAAAAACCAGTTACTCCTGAGGGAATTCTGAGCCAAAAAATAAAAACTCTGCACCAAAAAAAATCAAAAGTTTTGCACACTATTTTAAAATTCTACAAATTTTATTTGTCAAATACATGTGGAGGCTCCAACATGGCATTGGGGAGCACAGGCCACTGGCTGCACCGAGGTGGGAGATCACTGTGCCATTCCCCCTGGGACACGGACTCAGCGGTGAGGCTGCACCCAACCCTGACACCACACAAGGATTGGGCCTGCCCCAGAAACACCCCAGGGGCTTGCCCCTCTGTGCCCAGTGCACCAGGTGTGGGCAGGCCGGATTCAAGTGTCGAGGGGCTTAGTGTGGGGGAATCCAGGTGTGGGTTGAGAGGGTTCTGCGTGGGGCAATCTGGGTGCAGGCAGCTCAGTGGGGGATCCATCTGTGGGGGAGGGGGGAGAATCTGGATGCACAGGGGCTTGTTGGGGGCAGTTCTGGGTGCAATGGTAATGGGGACTGTGGGGGGAGGGGTCCAGGTGAAGGTGGTTGAGGCTCAGCAGGGAGGTCTGGGGGATAGAGCTCAGCAGGTGGGTCTGGGAGCACAGTGGGGGGTCCAGATGCTGGGGGAGTGGGACTCAGTGTGATAGGGATCCAGGTGTAGCTGGCTGGGACTCAGTGGGGTGGGGATCTGGGTGTGGGTGGCTTGTTGGGGGAGTGGGGCACATTGGAGGGGGTTCGGAGTGCAGGGAGAGTGGGGCTCAGTGGGAGGGTCTGAGGGGGTATGGATGCACAGGGGTTGGGCAGATGAGGGAGCAGCTCCCTGTACAGGGATCCCTCCCCCTGCAGCTGAGGAGTGATGGGGGGGGAGAGAGTAACAGCAGTTTGCAGAGTTTCCTGCAGCAAGGGAGAAATCTGGGGGTGTGTCTTACACAGCCCTGGATGCTGTGCAGGGGAAGAGGAAGTCCCATCCTCCCCAGCCCAACTGGGATTAGCTGCTAAGTCCAGCACAGGGTAGGAGCCACCAGCCAGGTCTTCCCCAGTCCCGCTTCCTGCCCCACAGTGATTTACCTCTCTGCTGGCTGCCCTGGGGACCCGATACACATGCTGGGGAGCGTTGCATGACTGCTCTTGTGGCTTCCCTGTCAAAGTCACTTTTCTGTGGGGGGACATAAATTCTGCATATGCACAGTACTGCAGAATTCCCCCAGAAGTAACCAGTGGCTCTCAAACTTTACTGCTGGTAACCCCTTTTACATAGCAAGCCTCTGAGTGCAAACTCCCTCCCCCCCCCCCCACACTTATAAATTAAGAACTGTTTTATATATTTAACACCATTATAAATGCTGGATGCAAAGCATGGTTTGGGGTGCAGGCTGACAGCTCACAACCCCCCCATGTAATAACCTCATGACCCCCAGTTTGAGAACCCTTGCCATAAACAATTTCTTCTTTGAACAGCTCGTTCTGGAGGAGACCCCTCACTTAGTCTTGAGCTACCCTCAAACAAAAGTTGCATGAGAACCTGTAGAACTACTTCAGAAATATTCGTTTGAAGTCTGGTCATATGATTCTGCTGAAAGGTCTCAGCTGAGTTTGGGCCCTTTGATACTTGCCTTTTAAATTAATCTTTGACTTTTCTCAAACATTCATGTTAAATAAGCGTGAACACAAATTCTGAACAATCTGGCTTAAAAGTAATTTTCCTTCACTGTTCAATTTTTATTCTTGGAATATAATTTTGCTAGTTCTCTAGTCACCAAGACTTACAGTTCAATACAAAAAAAATTTGATTTTAAACATCAGAAAGCAGCACAAATGGACAAGGCCTATTATTTTGTATATTTCATCTTTATAGATGCTTTGTTGCTTTCCCATTATTCTCCTCTAACTGCCATCTTTAATTTTCACAACAAGTTTTTCTTAACGTACCCCATACCTTCTTATTTCAGTACTAAGACTAGACCTGGACATGCCTGGGTGAACTCCTGTACTTTCACATTGTGCAACTGATTTCCAAGTGGCTCTGAATATGCCTTTAACTGCAGGATCAGGACCACAGAATTGTCGGAAGGAGTAAGCTGTATATATAAGACAACTGGTAAGTACAAGCATCAGGGGGTTTTAAATAGTCTGTAATTAATAGAGCTAGGTAGCCATATGAGAGCTCAAGCCCTGTCATGCATTAAACTAGCTAAAAAACATGAACTCTCACCAGTGAGTTATCAGTTGTGAAAGAGGTCAATAGCAGGATACCTAAGAATCACTATTAGACCTTCAATATGTCAAACTGACAAGGGGGAATGAATAACTATATGGCAAAATTGAAAACTAAAGTGATTAAGCCTAGTCAAAGTAATGACACACTAAACCTGCTCCAGAAGGACACAAGTAAGTAATTAACCACCAACAGATTCAATTTAATGCAGAGAACTGCAAGGAAAAACTTCCCCGACTGGTACACATTACTAAGTTCTAAACTGGCTCTGGATAAACTATTTAGGTTTCATTGTGGACAGCTCACAGAAGCAGGCAAAACACAATATTAAGGGGTATTAAAATTAACAGTAAATTCAATAAATTTACAAAAAATGTGAAACTGTCATGTGGTGTAAGTGTCAGCCTTAGTCTCCTTTGGAAAAGGGCCCACCAGTACTAGGCTGCAAGGGGGAAATTAATGAGAGGCATCTGGTGAAGGGCTTGCAGAAGAGGTCATGCTCAAGAATTGGAGTGAAAAAGAGTAAAGCCCCCAGGTTCGTTAACGGGATAGCTCGTTGCAAGACGGGGTGTTTTGCCATGTCCTAACCCTGTCTTCTCGTGGCGGGGTGAGGGCAATATTGCGCTACAGCCATGGCAGAAAAGGGGGGCAATCATGCTCTTTCTGTGAGCCCCGTAGCCCAGGCTGGTCCTGTCCACGCAGCCCCGACCCGCTAGCGTAGAGCGCACCGCGCTAGGCAGGGGCCAGTGGCCGCCGCGGGAAGGGCGTGCTATAAAGCAGAGGGAGAAAGGGGCGGCCGGCTCCCTGGCCACAGCCCGGCACCAACCTATGGAGGCGAGGCGGCTGCTCCAGGAGGCTGGCGGGCCGCCGCGGCCGGCGGGGGCGCTGGCCAGGCGCGATCGGGCGCCCCCAGCCGGGCCCGCGCCCAGTGCTGCATGGCGCTGCTCAGCCTGCCTTGCAGAGGGAGCTCGAGTCCCGCTCTGCGCCTCGCCGCGCCTCTCACGCCGCAGCGCACACGGCGGCGGCCGGCAGGAGCGGGGCACGCAGCCGCCGCCGCGCCAAGCAGGACTCGGCCGGAGCCGCTTCGCGGGCCCGGACGCGGGGAGCGGCGAGCCCGCAGCAGGCCGAGCCCCAGGACAAGGCGGCGGCGCTAACGCAGGTTCGGCGGGAAGGGCCCCGGGGAGGGGGCGAACCGGCCGCCCTCCGGCAGCGCGGGCCGGGGCAGGGGAGGGCTGAGGGGAGCGGGCCGCGGGCCCGGGGGTGATTAGCGCCAGCGGCTCCGCGGAGGAAACAAAGGAAGGAAAATGGAGTCCGGGCCAGGCGGGGACGGGGCGCTCGACGGGCCGGGCCCGGCCGGCCCAGCGCCGCGCTGTGGGGAATGGCGGCGGTCGCAGGCAGGCGCCGGCCGCGCTGGGGACGATAGAGGGAGACAAAGCCCCCTGCTTCCCCGGCGGCGGCCGCTGCGGGGCCCCAGCCAAACCGGAGCCCCATCGTGACACCTAGAGGCCGGAGAAAGCGACTGCAAACCCCCCGCCACCGCTTACCTGCGCCTGGCCCCGCCAGGCCCGCGCCCGCCGCCGGGCCCCGCCGCCGCCCCGCGCTGCCCCGGCCCCGCGGAGCCGCCGCGCCCCGCACGCCCCGCCGCGGCCGCCGCTCGCGCTCAGCCCCAGCTCGCGGTTTAATCGCTCCACAGTCGCTTCGGACACAAAATGGCGGCGGCCGAACGCGGTGCGCCTGCGCGGGCCCGGCTGCCGCGGCCGCCGGAGCTGAGCGAGAGGAGGGGGAGCGGTGAGTGGGCGCGCGGGGCACCATGGGAGGGGGCCCTGCGCGCCAACTTCAAACGGTGCCGTGGCCGTAACGTCACTGACTGACTCGCACGCCCGACGCAGGGGCGTAACGTGCCGCGTCATGCGGGCGCTCTGGCGGAGCCGGGCGGGCGGTTGGAGGGAAGGCCGAGTCGCCGGAGGGTGGGACGCCGCGCGCCTGGGGGCGTGATCCAGGTGGGCGCCGGGGCCCCACGTGACGCGCTGCCGGGCGCCCTGTGCCCTCCGCGCGGGACCGCGAGCTCGGCGCCCGGCCGCTCCCCGCAGCGGCTCCGGGCGGCCCAGAGCGGGGCCTGCGCCTGGTGTCAGGCTTCGGCGGGAGACTCCGGCGCGGGGCCTGCGCCGGGCCGGGCCGCTCCGGAGCGTGCTGCAGCCGCCCAACGCGCCGTCCAGCGAAGGGACCCGGGCGTCGGACCCCGCCGGGAGGGGCGGGGCGGGGCGGGGCGGAAAGGTGGTGGTTCGGCTGCCTGGCGCTGGCAGCGTCCGGGGCCTGCCCCCAGCGCAGTCGGGGAGTGAGAATTCCCCTCGCCAGCGAGCTGCCGCGGGCTCTGTGACCGGAGTTGGGAACCGCTCTCCCCCGGTGGATGCGGGTCGTGCCCCGGACCACCCCCGTGGGGACCACCCCCGTGGGTGCCAGCAGTTCGCCGTCCCCCGGGGGTTCTGGGCTGCTCGAGCGTCCCTTCCCGTGAGGCAGGTCAGTGATGAGGCATGCAGGCATGGTGTGGCGTCCTTGTTACGTGTGCTTGATCTGCTCTACTTTAGAGGTCTTAAATTTACAGCCAAGCTTGCTTCTAAGTTTCCAGACCACGTGTGTGGCTTTGACATTCAGTAGTGAATGGGCTGCCACAGAACGAGCAAGATCTGAACAAAGGTTCAGTAGATAAATGTGGGTCACTTACCTTCCTGGGAAGTTGTGAGGTTCTTAGTCTGTTTCTCTCCCCCCTTCACTTCTGCTCTCACAACATTTTCTGTACCTTTCTTCTGTCTCCAATTGCTCCAGTCCCACCTGTTTCTTGTGTCTTTCCCAACTGCCACAGATCTTTCTGTTTCCAGCGTTTCCTCTCTTTTCCAGGGGCATTGCCCCAAATCTCTTGCCACCTGTCTAAACAAACAGGTGAGAGAAGAGAACCTCTGTGAGCCCACATCACAATATCAGACAAAATTGGCTTAAGATGGAGTTTAAAGTCGAGAATAAAAATGTCAGTAATTTAAGGATAAACAATAAGGCTGTCAAGCGATTAAAAAATTAATCTAGATTAATTGCACAATTAAAAAAATTAATCACACTGTTAGAATAATAGAATACCATTTATTTAAATATTTTTGGATGTTTTCTACATTTTCAAATATATTGATTTCAATTACAACACAAAATACAAAGTGTACAAGTGTTCTCTTTATATTTATTTTTCATTACAAATACTTGCACTGTAAAAAAACAAAAAAAAGTATATTTCAATTCACCTAATACAAGTACTGTAGTGCAATCTCTTTACAATGAAAGTTGAACTTACAAATGTAGAATTATGTACAAAAAATAACTGTTTTATTTTTGAATGCAATGTAAAGCTTTAGAACCTACAAGTCCACTCTCTCCTACTTCAGCCGAACGCTCAGACAAACAACTTTGCAGGAGATAATTCGGCCCACATCTTGTTTACAGTGTCACCTGAAAGTGACAGCAGTTGTTCACTTGGCACTGTTGTAGCCAGCATTGCAAGATATTTATGTGCCAGATGTGCTAAAGATTCATATGTCCCTTTATGCTTCAACCACCATTCCGGAGGACATGCGTACATGCTGATGATGGGTTCTGTTCAATAATGATCCAAAGCAGAGCGGACCAGCGCATGTTCATTTTCATCATCTGAGTCAGATGCCACCAGCAGAAGGTTGATTTTCTTTTTTGGTGGTTCAGGTTCTGTAGTTTCCACACTGGAGTGTTGCTCTTTTAAGACCTCTGAAAGCATGCTCCACGCCTCGTCCCTCTCAGATTTTGGAAGGCACTTCAGATTCTTAAACCTTGGGTCGAGTGATGTATCTATCCGTAGAAATCTCACATTGGTACCTTCTTTGCATTTTGTTGAATCTGCTGTGAAGGTGTTTTTAAAATGAACGTGTGCTGGGTCATCATCCGAGACTGCTATAACATGAAACATATGGTAGAATGCAGGTAAAACAGAACTGGAGACACACAGTTCTCCCCCAAGGAGTTCAGTCACAAATTTAATTAACACATTATTTTTTTAATGAGCGTCGTCGGCATGGAGGCATGTCCTCTGGAATGGTGGCCGAAGCATAAAGGGGATATGAATGTTTAGCATATCTGGCGCGTAAAATACCTTGCAATGCTGGCTATAAACATGCCATGCGAATGCCTGTTCTCATTTTGAGGTGTTCTTGTAAATAAGAAGCAGGCAGCAGTATCTCCCGTCAATGTAAACAAACTTGTTTGTCTTAGCGATTGGCTAAACAAGTAGGACTGAGTGGACTTTAGGCTCTAAAGTTTTACATTGTTTTGTTTTTTAGTGCAGTTATGTAACAAACAAACCTACAATTGTAAGTTACATTTTCATGATAAAGAGATTGCACTACAGAACTTGTATGAGGTGAATTGAAAAATACTATTTCTTTTTATCATTTTTACAGTGCAAATATTTGTAATAAAAAATAATATAAAGTGAGCACTGTACACTTTGTATTCTGTGTTGTAATAGAAATGAATGTATTTGAAAAATGTAGAAAAACTTCAAAATATTTAATAAATTTCAATTGGTATTCTATTTAACTGTGCAATTAATCTTGATTGATTTTTTTTTAATCACAGTTAACTCACCTGATTAACTCAAAAAAATTAACTGTGATTAATCGACAGCCCTAATAAAAATACTTCAATGATAGCATAATTATCCACCAAAGAAGTGTTACAAACCTAGAAAATTCAGTAGTTAAAGTTCAGTGTTTAAAAAAATCAGTCATGCCTGCATGGTGTCATGTTTTAATGCTTTTTAGGGTTTGTGGCTGCAAATTAAACGGAATTTTTTAAAGACACTATTTTTTCATTCTTCCCCTTATGGTGTCACTGCAGGGCAGAATTAAGGTGGTTGGGCATCGTAGGCTTTAATTCAACCAGTTTAGCATGTGGTAAAAATAGACATTGCCTGGTTGATGCTAGACTTCTTAGAACGGGGGTTCTCACACTGGGGGTCGGGACGCCTCAGGGGGCCACAATGCTATTATATGGGGGGTCGTGAGCCGTCAGCCTCCACCCCAAACCCCGCTTTGCCTCCAGCATTTATAATGGTGTTAAATATGTAAAAAGGTGTTTTTAATTTATAAGTGGGGGTCACACGCGGAGGATTGCTTTGTGAAAGGGGTCACCAGTACAAAAGTTTGAGAACCACTGTCTTAGAACATGTGTGCATGCTAACATCACTTCTTTAAATCCCACTCTAGATAATGCTCATGGGTGAGGAGGGCATGGGGTTGTCCAGAAAAGTGTACATATGTAGGCAGATGGGGAGCAGATGTGTGTTTGCAGTATGGAGCATGTAGGGAGACTGGTATTACGTGAAGGGCATACATAGTTCTTGAGTCCCAATATCTCTGTGCTTTAAGGGTTTCTCAGGCCTAAACTCCCCCAGCAGTGCACTGCATAGTGGAACCAACACACCAGTGCCAGGAGGAACCCTTCAGACACTGATGCTCTAGCTAAGCATGTGATTATGGAATCTTTAATAAGCATTGATTGCTGAGGCCAAGTTGTCTACCAATGGTTACTCTTGACACGTGAGACCAAGAGCCCACTGACTCATAACCGATAGAATTGTAGCATGCAAAAATAGCTGTTGAAGGGCAACAACAATTGGATGAGTTTCAGAGGAACAGCCGTGTTAGTCTGTATTCGCAAAAAGAAAAGGAGTACTTGTGGCACCTTAGAGACTAACCAATTTATTTGAGCATGAGCTTTCGTGAGCCACAGCTCACTTCATCAGATGTGTACCGTGGAAACTGCAGCAGACTTTATATACACACAGAGAATATGAAACAATACCTCCTCCCACCCCACTGTCCTGCTGGTAATAGCTTATCTAAAGTGATCAACAGGTGGGCCATTTCCAGCACAAATCCAGGTTTTCTCACCCTCCACCCCCCCACACAAATTCACTCTCCTGCTGGTGCTAGCCCATCCAAAGTGACAACTCTTTACATAATCAAGTCGGGCTATTTCCTGCATAGATCCAGGTTTTCTCACTTCCCCCCCACCCCCATACACACACAAACTCACTCTCCTGCTGGTAATAGCTCATCTAAACTGACCACTCTCCAAGTTTAA